GAGGGCAGAGAAGCCTTCTTAGGTCGACCACCGAAGAGTTTATTCAAAACAATTTTCGACCGGAACACCAAAAACCTGCTGGGTATACTATTCCTACCAGTCACCGAAGGTGTCAGTACATAGAGTCTCTGGAGTGGCCGGTCGAAGGCGGAATTTCTGGCATCGCTCATGGAACTCCCTTTTGGTGTCGGTGCATTCCTTCTCTGAATAGCCAAGTTCACATCCGCGGCTTATGACCGACCTTGAGGAAAGAAGAGGGACTGGATAACCTTGGAGATAGCCAAGCTGTCGAGCGAAGAAGTTGGGATGATACACTTCCCAACTCGCTCGGTGACCTTCACAACCGAGAGGCAGGTCGCGAGCAAGTACGAAAGACCCCCAGGATTGACTAAGGTTAGCATCTTCGTCCTCACCCTATGCTGTGGTAGGAAGTCTGATCGACGAAGGGTATTCTCGACGACGACAGATCAAGAACTCGTCATTAGAAAGGTCGTCGAGAGCGAATAAGTATTTGAACACTTCTTCGGCTTGGTGAAGGGGGATTGGCCGAAAAAGCCAATTGAAGGCCGAACACTTCCCTGGGCGAGAAATCAGCAATCGTTGGCCGAAGAGGAGCAAAGTAGACCTGCAGCCAAAGTTGGAAGACCTAGAGGGGCCCATTTTGCTGAGGATCGACCTTATCTAGAGTCGTTTCGGCCAAGCAGTGCAGAAAATGAGCGAGAATGGCGAGGCTAAGTGCTAAAGTGTGACCGCTAGCTAGGGCCTCGGCCACTGGCATGTTCTCGACCATACACTTATTAGATTTGGTACAACAAATAAATTTGTTGTACCAATAGAAGAGGAAAGCCTCGTGTTCTCCTTCTCGTAGAGCCTCTTCTCCTCGACCGGCAAAATGGAGGTAGAGGGTGTTGTAGTTGAAGAAGTTCTTGTGAAGCTTGTGGACTTCTTCCTTCGAGGGTGTGTTTAGCCTTCATTGCTTAGCGTCTCAAGGGCCCGTTTGTCGAAGAACACCTTTAAATTAAGGTTCGACGGGTACCCAGAGAGGGCAGAGTCGACTGGGATTCCAGTCGGGGAAGTCCCCAGGATGACAGTAAGGTCGAGGATGGTGGGGCCAATGGGGCCGAGAGGGAGGACCATGGTGTTAGTGGTCGAACACCAAAAGTATAAAGCCGCTAGGAGGAGCTCCTTGTCCAGAATAACCTCCATGGACGAAAGGTGAATGGCGTCATAGATGCCTAGGGCTTTCCATTGCTCGCCGAAGATTTTTTCCATTCGAACAACCCAGGCTGCCTAGGTTGTAGTGGTCGAGGGCCAAGAGCCTTGAGGCCTCGCCATATCCCACTTCGACCAAGTCGAACCCTTGTAGTAAGGGTGATAGGCAATGCTCCTGGAGAAGTCCAGTGATGGTCGATGGCACTGCCGCCTTAAATAGAGGACCCAAGATTTGATGAGGAGTACTCATGTCGCTCTCAAATCGGATGGTTTTGATTGAACTCCGATCGATGATTTTCTGGCATTGATCACATTCCTTAGAAAGCTTAGAGATAAAGGAGGCCATGGTGATTGGTTGAAGGTATGACAAGAAAAGGACTTTCTGGGTTAAAGATTGAAGAATGAAGACCTGGAAAGAAGAAATGCACTGGAGAATGATGGCGAAAAATTTCAGAAAGTTTAAAAGCGTGAAGTACAAATGAGAGAATTTCGGTATTTATAGAATTGTGGAAGGAAGGGCAATCGTTTGAAATTCAAAATAAAGGGTAAAATCGACCGAAGAAATCGTTAATCATTATGGACATTCAGGAAATGCAGTTGAGAAGACTGAGGGTCTCAGGTTTTGGGGGCGCACGATTGCGTGTAGCGGCGAGATTTAGGGCGAAAGACGTTTTGGCGTCTGCACGATGACGAAAGGCTCGCGGATTAAGGTAGCATGGTCATGTTCAGCAATAATGTCATGATGACACGACGGTTCAGGGAGCTGCACGCCTTAGACGTCATTATTAGGGATTGGCCATGTTAAAAGATGCCACGTGGTGTTTTGGTCAGCAGAATCAAGATCGTGCAATCGTGCTCAATAAATGCGCCTTGAAAATAGAGTACTTGGGTGCTGAGTGTTAGATTCGCTTCTTCAAGGCCAAAACTCGACCAAAGAATTCAGGCCGAGGACCTCAGAAGCGAGGGGGCAATGTTTGGGCCCAAAATATTAGTTTGGGCCGAGTATAGAATTATTCTCGGCCCAGAAGGCCTTACGACAGGATTCGGTTCTCAGGGATCAGTTAGTTCTGGACCTGTTAGGTCGTGGGCTTCCAAATCCGGGTCGATTATACCATACCATAATACCGTAAGACAAGTCAAATCCTAATGCAATGAGGAGTCTCGGCAAGATCAATAACTCAGAAACGAATCCGGCTCGATAAAGGACTAGGTTCACAATTATAGTGAAAATAGGACTGGTCGAGTTGGTGTTTGATTAGGAGAAGAAGAC